GCTCCTTTTGCTTGCTCTTGCTCTCATACCTGAATAAACAATCTGTGTATCCCAGTAACTAAATGCTGAGATCCAGGCTTCAAAGTCATGAGCTTTCCACTGACACACAGCAGTTAAACTGGCTTCCCCTAGAGACAGCGCTGTGAGAGAGCCGCTCGAGTCACTGGACACCACACGCACATCACTGCTACAAAAACATAAGAGTAACCATTATATACAGAGACAATGCAATGCCAAATCATCAGTCCATCAATGACGAGCGCACCTTACCTCTCACCTCTCCCTCTGGACCAGTCTAAAGACAAGGCCAGTCTGTCAGGACCCAACCCTGTGCTCAACTCGTACTCCAGACCACATGTGCCCTGCTACTGGAGACACAGTCCAGTCACGCAGAAAACACTCAATGAAGTACAAATACAACAATAAAATACAGTGTCCAATGCAGTGTTTACCTCAAAGGAATACGAAGGATGGCTTTAAAATCATAGATAGATAGATATCATTATTATAAAAGGGATAGTTCACTCAAAATTCACCCAAATATTCTGTCATCATTTACTCACCCTCAATTTTCCAAACTTGTATGAATTTCTTTCTTCTGTTGAACATAAAAGAAGATATTTTGAAGAATGTGGGTAACCAAACAGCTGTTGGTCTCCATTGACTTCCATAGTATGAAAGTCAATGGGGACCAAAAACTGTTCGGATACAAAATATTTAAAATATATTCTTTTGTTTTCAGCAAAAGAAAGAAATTCATACAGGTTTGGAGCAACTTGAGGGTGAGTAAATGATGACAATTTTCATTTCTGGGTGAACTATTAATATGATAACTAATTAATATAATTGAATGAATATAATATAAATAATATATTTAAAACATATTATTATTAATAATTTTAATATTAAACTTGCAGTGGCCATACCCAACACTGGGCGCTCTGATATCGGCACGTGACACCTGAGAAATTAGAACAAATAAAACACTCACAATTCATGTGCATTGGCCAGTTACATAAAGCATTTGACTCAGCATCAACCCCATTACTGGCCATCTGTCAAGAGTGTTACCCTACCTCATTTACACAGGACAAGTGGTGAAAAATGGATGGATGCCATCACATACAATAAATAACATACATAATATATACACAAACTGTACAAAATACAGTACAATATACATATGGAGTGTGTAAGTGAAGAGTGAATTGTAGTGAGCAGATGGAACAATGAGATTCACTTACCATTTGAGGTCGAGTATAGCAGGAGTGTCTATCCGCTGAGTCTCAGTCAGTAGAGGGATGAACGATGGCTGCGGATTACAGTCAAACAGATAAAGTCGACCGATTCTGCTCGGTGCAGTACAGTTTTCTGCGGTTTGCTGTTAACAGAAAACACCGTTTCAATCTAGGACAGACCAGTTAATACCACACAATACCATAAACTAAAGCCGAAAGATATTTTGCACTACCTTCTCATCGCCTTTTTGAAGTTGGTAAGTCCCACATGCCAGAACATGAGAGCACTGTGGTAATGGGCACCACTCCACGGTATCAGCGCTCAACTCCGTGTCAAACACCTGCAGGGTTCGGGTTCGAGACTGCCAACCCATTTAAGCGGCTCGGCATAATATGAAGCAATTTAGAATAGATAATCGCAGTAACTGACCAAGAAATGACTGCACGCGTAACTTACTGTCAGTCTGTGACCCCTACATGCATGCAGCACTCTAGACCAGCTGTTTTATTTAAAATAGTAATTTTATATAATTTTTATTTTAAATGAATAGTATGTATTATAACTTGGTGTCAAATATTAGTTTCAAGGTCATAAACATTTTCGTGTAACTTCGCCTTTTATCGTTTTTACGAGGTAAACAGGACGCGAATGGCACAACAACTTCCGGGTTGCTGAGTGAGGACTGACTGGCTGAGCGTTTAAAGGGGTCATATGATGCTGCTAAAAAGAACATTATTTTGTGTATTTGGTGTAATGAAATGTGTTTATGCGGTTTAAAGTTCAAAAAACACATTATTTTCCACATACTGTACATTATTGTTTCTCCTCTATGCCCCGCCTTTTTGAAACGCGTCGATTTTTACAAAACTAATCGGTCTGAAAAGCGAGGTGTGCTCTGATTGGCCAGATATCCAATGCGTTGTGATTGGCCGAATACCTCAAGCATGAGACGGAAATGTTACGCCCCTCACAATACTGTTGATGCCGTGTCCCGGCCGAAGCGATGATTCAAAAACATTAAAACCCATTACAAACGAAGCATTTGTTGCATCCAGTGGGGACATAAGGCCTTTGTTCACCCCCCGGAGCCGTGTGAGACATTTTTTTTTATGGATGGGCGCTTTTTATTTAACTTCTTTTGGACTGATGCATGCAACACCCGCTGAGTGGCATTAAACAGCTTGAAACTCCGACTGGATTCGTCTGAAAGAAGAAAGTCATATACACCTAGGATGACTTGAGGGTGAGTAATTTGTGGGCTGTGAGATAAATTAAACATTATAATCCATTTAATTTAACTTTTTGTGACATTTCAACAGCCACAGCCTGATTCTGAATCCATAAGAAATTTGATTTGCTCTATCATTTTTTAATAGAATAAAGCTTTCTAATAACAAATGTCTTTATAAATCATAACCAAAGTCTTTTGCAGACTGTGCCAAGCAGATTGAATTGAATTATCTCATCAAGTGAAATATAGTTTTTATGTGCCTGTGTCACAAGTCTTACCCTTTCTTCCTCAAAGCTGATCAGTCCTTCATCATCATCACTCTCAAGTTCTTCTGGCTCTTCACTTACGAGGGCGTTGAGCTCTGTGTTAGCGGGACATGGACGGAGGATGCTGAGCAGCCGCTGCAGTGGCGACTGACCAGCACTAGATGGGGAACTTTCTTGCTGTTCTAAGTTATCGCTTTGCTTTTTTGCAAAGTTGACAAAGACCTAAAAAAAGAATAGAAAAGAAGAAAATACTACTTTTCCTTGTTACAGTATGTCGCTTTTGGATTCATATTTCACACATTTAGTTAATCTTTTGCATCAATAACTACTGTTTGTTCACTTTCAATATTGCCATTTTTCTTTCATTATTAGTCACTGAGGTATACTTACGTTGTCCAAAGTTGTCTGGCTGACAGAATAATCTTCGATGCTCAGCACTTCGACCACCTGCTCCATTTTGCTGAAGACCTGAGCCAGAGAGATGTTCTCTGACTTCAGCTGGTACTGAATCTTTGTGTGGTGCCTCAAGACAAAATACTGATTAAAACATTTTTTTTTTTTGCAGCAGTGAGTTTGGAACAGGATCAGAGAAAAGAATGATAGGGAGATCTAACCAGAAAGATGAGTGAGGGATATCCAATCAGAGCAATAGCTGTGGAGAGTTTGCGTTTGTTCCCTCCACTGTAGGTGCCAGCAGGTTTGTCAGCATACTTGGACAACTCCAACTTCTCCAGAGCCCACTGAACCAGCTTCAGGACACAAAGAGAGAGTGAATTAGAGAGCGAGATCTTTTATTCTTAACAGCAAGAACAATGAATTTCAAACTGCAGCTGACAATTATAGATTGCTAAGTGCTCTTGCACCTTTTAAAGTGATTTCAAGAGAGCTTTTAGGAGCTCTTATACACACTTGACTATCACTGATAAGTGCATGACAACCTTTCACAGAATGCAGTGTGACTACACAGGGAGTGTGTGTGTGTGTCTGTGTGCTCACCCGTTCCTCATCTTTCCAGGGGATGCCGCGGAGGCGTGTGTACAGCTCCAGATGTTCTCGAGCAGTCAGGTCATCAAATAGAGCGTCAAACTGAGGGCAGTAACCGATGCTCTGCTGCACGCGTAAAAGCTCCCGCAAGATACTGCAGGATAATGAGAGACTCATTCTAACCAAGCCATTCACATTAGTCGTACATATGCAAAATAAAGAAGAAAACGAAGCTTTAAATCAACAACACAGAACTGCATTAGGGATAAGTGGTAATAATATTTGGACAATAAGACTTGTTTGAATTGTTTATTTTTCTTAATTCTTGGGAGAAGAATCCTTTTTTTTTTTTTTTAGTTTTACACATAGCACATTTTACTGGAGTTTTATGCTTAATAAATTACCAATAGGGTAAAAACAATCAGCTTAATTCAAGACATATTCTATATTCTGTTAAAAAAAAACATGTATTTTTAATACTGAAAATTAATCAGTAGTGTTTGTTAGCATAGCAACATGTTAATATCAAAATTTCCAAAATAAAACATAAAATAGCCTAAGATAATGCTTATTTATTTCTTTATTTTAAACACATACATTTACCAACATTTGTTGGGGGTTTATGCTTGAAGAATCACAAATAGGGTAAAAACAATAAACTTATTTCAAGATATACTCTACATTCTGCCAAAAATACCTTGCAAATACCTTGAAGTCCAACTAAAGATATACTGAAGTATATCTGATTGTGCTAAAGTGGAACTATTGCAAGTATACTTTAGGTGCACTTTAAATATCTTGCATTTTAAAGACCGATATTATTCAAAGATCATAAAATCCTCATCAACAGGGACATTAAAACACATTTTTCATATCAAGAAATGTTCATTGTGCACAAGAAGTACTCCAAATAAAGTAATTTATGATTTTTATATCAGTAAGTCTCAAGCGATATGTCAGGAAATATGTTAATAGATTTGAACTATACTTAGTATGAAATTAATTACTAATAATTTATTAAAGAAATTAATAATTTATTAAAAGTAATACAATTTCGTTTATTTTTCTTATTCCATGGAAATTTTTTTTTGTCTTGTTTTAACATTTAAACATAAATATAAACAAATTATTGGTTTATGTTTAAAATATAACAAAAAGAAAAAAAAAAAAATTTGATATATATTCTATCTATCATATGAATGATGAAGAAGAGAGGGAGGATTTAGAAATCAAAGCTGGTCTGAGTGTAGCACCTGTGTCCCTGAATAAAGGCCTCTCCCCCTGTTGTGCTCTCATCTCCAGTCAACATTTTGAAGGTTGTGGTCTTTCCAGCCCCGTTCACTCCCAGCAGCCCAAAGCACTCCCCAGGACGGACCCCCAGACACAAACGGTCCACCGCCAGGATCCGGCCCATCTTGCGAGACTTGTACACCTGTGAGGAAACACGGGCTCTGAGGATATTTTGAGGACTGAACAATGGGTTCAGGTCAGATGCACTGGGTTAAGGGAAAGTTTTAAAATGTCATGGAGTGTCTGACCTTGGTTAGGTTGTCGATCTTCAGCATGTCATTGTCAGCATCTCCCCTCAGCACTCTGCGTCTCTCACAGGCCACATCAACATCATCGTCCTCAACTGGCTGACTGTTGACAGGCACTCTCCTTCAATGAGATGAAAACGGTGACCTTTAGAACATTTTCATTTTAAACTGTCAAAGGCACACACATGCTGTATACAAAATCACACTCACTGGGCTTTCCGGAGGAAGTTGTACTGGCACAGAATTGTAATGAGAAAGCCAACAAAACCCTCAATGGTCATTGCCACCAGTCCCCGTGTCACAATGTCCCATTCAAATGGAGACTTCACCTTATCAAACTGGCCTGCAGGGAAGAGAAGGCATTTTATCATCTGAAAAGAGCAAAGAACAGTCCTCAACGATGCCCTGAGATGAAGAATGCATAAACACACCTATCTTGGCGTAATACTCATTGATATACTCATTATAGGCCATCTCCATCAATCCATGACCCAGGTTATAGTTGGGAAAGATGAGAAAACAGGACTTCAGATAGCTGTTTACCAACTTTAGATCCTGTGAGGTAAAAAAATCAAACAAATGTATATTAGTGATAAAATGTTACATTGTTATATGATTTTAATAATTGGATATGGTTAAAAAGGTGGGACAGGCAAAAATGTCCATTTAAAGGGATAGTTCACCCAAAAATTAAAATTCTGTCATTGATTACTCACCCTCACATGTTCCAAACCTGTAAGACCTTTGTTATTTCTGATGAAATCCAAGAGCTTTCTGACTCTGCATAGACAGCAACACAACTACCACGTTCAAGGCCCAAAAAGGTAGTAAGGACATTGTTAAAATAGTCCAGTCGAAGACTGACACAGAAGAGAAGAAATTGTTAAATAAAGTTATTATTATTCTTGTTTTCTTTGCGCACAAAAAGTATTCTCGTAGCTTCATAAAATTACAGTTGGACCACTGGTGTCAAATGGACTATTTTAATGACGTCTTTACTACCTTTCTGGGCCTTGAATGTGGTAGTTGCTCTCTATGCAGGGTCAGAAAGCTCTCGGATTTCATCAAAAATATCTTAATTTGTGTTCCGAAGATGAACGAGGCCTTACGGGTTTGGAACGACAAGAGGGTATTTAATAACAGAATTTTCATTTTTGGGTGAACTAACCCTTTAAGGGGGTGGGAGTGAGATACATAAAGACATAAAAAAAGAATTTCTTCTATAGTGCATGAGCTCAAAAGAATGTTGTCATACAGCTTATACACACAATTTATATACATGCCATGCCATCAGTGATAAAAATTTCTCTGTCTGACCTACCTTGTCACGCTCGAACAGTTGTAGGAGGAAAGTGGCCACCGTGGCTGTGATGCCAATGAAGAGATTGATGACTATGAGGAAAACATAAGCTGTGCTGGGCACCTCAAACCAGAAAGATGCTGGATACATAATGGGGGTTATAGACCAGCTAGAAAGAGAGAGCGAATTGTCACATTTAATGTGAATAAAACCGATTAAAAAAAAAACCTGTATTTACTGTCACACTGTCTGATTGAGTCTTCATACAGAAAGAGCTTACCCATAAAGGAGGAAGAGTTTGTTATTTCTGATGAAATCCAAGAGCTTTCTGACTCTGCATAGACAGCAACACAACTACCACGTTCAAGGCCCAAAAAGGTAGTAAGGACATTGTTAAAATAGTCCAGTCGAAGACTGACACAGAAGAGAAGAAATTGTTAAATAAAGTTATTATTATTCTTGTTTTCTTTGCGCACAAAAAGTATTCTCGTAGCTTCATAAAATTACAGTTGGACCACTGGTGTCAAATGGACTATTTTAATGACGTCTTTACTACCTTTCTGGGCCTTGAATGTGGTAGTTGCTCTCTATGCAGGGTCAGAAAGCTCTCGGATTTCATCAAAAATATCTTAATTTGTGTTCCGAAGATGAACGAGGCCTTACGGGTTTGGAACGACAAGAGGGTATTTAATAACAGAATTTTCATTTTTGGGTGAACTAACCCTTTAAGGGGGTGGGAGTGAGATACATAAAGACATAAAAAAAGAATTTCTTCTATAGTGCATGAGCTCAAAAGAATGTTGTCATACAGCTTATACACACAATTTATATACATGCCATGCCATCAGTGATAAAAATTTCTCTGTCTGACCTACCTTGTCACGCTCGAACAGTTGTAGGAGGAAAGTGGCCACCGTGGCTGTGATGCCAATGAAGAGATTGATGACTATGAGGAAAACATAAGCTGTGCTGGGCACCTCAAACCAGAAAGAGGCTGGATACATAATGGGGGTTATAGACCAGCTAGAAAGAGAGAGCGAACTGTCACATTTTATGTGGCATTTTAAGACCTGAATAAAACTGATAAAAAACTGTATTTATTGCCTCTCCACGTCTGATTGAGTCTTCATACAGAAAGAGCTTACCCGTAAAGGAGGAAGAGAGAGAGCACTGCTGGGAAATTTGTCGGTGACGTGTACGCAGGAAGGTCAAACACAAACAGAATTAGGACACAGCACGTTGCCGGAACCAGGTAGTTCAGCTAACGAAGAAAGAACAAAAGAAATCTGTGTGTAAACCAATTTAGCCCTCAGGACTGTTCTTGTTTGTGAATAGACACCAAATCCCACACAGTCTCTCCTTCTTTACCATGTCCCATATGTAGTTCGCTAGCCAGTAAGTGACAGGGTCACATCCGCTGACAAACTGTAGGTGTTTGGCCTTGGTGGATTTTTCTGCTACCAGGAAGACCACGAAGCTTGCTGGCACAAAGGACATGGCTACAATGATGAAGATGGCAATAACCACATCAGTGCCCTGGAGCCTAGAAGAGCGGATATGAAATCAGAAATAAGCAATGAGTGTTTGAGGGCTGCAACAGGAAGAAGAGAGGAGAGGAAGACTTACAGATAATCCAGAGAAAGACTGGCACTGGTTCTGTTCATTGGATGACTGGTCACTGTGATGCCTGTGAACGTTTGCACATATAGGGTTTTCAGTACAACTAAACAATCTCTTTATGACAAAAAAACAACAGAATAAAGATGACTTAAAATGAATTCAGTAAAACATGCACAATTAAATAGAAAAAACAATTGATGACTTCTATTCAGACTCACCGTATGCAGCAGGGTTTCCTTTACTACTGGGAAGATTGGCTCTGAGGATGGCATTGTTCAGGACATTTAGGTAGGTGGGCATACTATGATACCCTTTGTTATTGTAAAGCACCTGTAGAGTAAGACAAAAACATTCAAATTACGATGAAATACTACCTCAGAAATATATATAAGCTATGAAGGGTAAGGATACTCTGACTTGCCTGTGAGGATCGCCTCACTGCTATTTTGCGCACCATAGGTGATGTTTTTCTCCCAAAGGATGCTGGGACAGATTTTTGAATGTTTCCTACAGTAAAGCCTCCATATCTACAGGATAACACAAAAAACATGCAGTCTTTGAGTTCTTGTCAAAAGAAAGAGAGGGTTAAAAAAAAGTCTTAATTTAAAAATGAATGAGAATTTAAAGTTGGTATGAAATAGTAATTCACCTATTTTACCCATTTCATTTTATAAAAGCATTTTATTGATCTTATTGTAAATGTTTAATTCATTCAAACATAACGAAAGAAAAGACCTGTCGCTACTTCAGTTACAAAGCGATTTTAAGGGAGTCATATTTTATATGCATGCTCAAAACCCAAAATGTCCAGTCAGTCCAAAAAGCCCATTAATCAAAACTGCACTGCACAAACAGTTTGTTCAGAAATCATTGGTTTGTGGTGATGTCATAAAGATCAACGATATTGTTCCATATTACAAAATATTCAGTATTCAGCAACTTGGCCTGCTCCATCACTTTGCTGGCATTGCAAAGATGCTCATTAAAAAACTTTATTGGACCTGGCAGCAAACCCACAAATTCAGAGTAAGCATTTCAAATGCAATACTTTTTTTATATAAAGTCTATAAGTGAACAGCAGCAAAAAAAGCCATCTTAATTCTAAAATGCTATGTTACTACTAGGAAATTAATTCAGTCAATTAATAAATTAAGTAAAATATGATATTATCCCTTTGACACCCTTTCAGAAGATTACCTGTGTAATCTGAGACGATCAGAGGTGTACAGGAGATATTCGGACACGTTGCGACCTGTGATGTCCACCAAGATGTCTCCGGTTACTACCTTCATAAGGGGCGGTCGACCCCCAACTCCACTGGGGCAGGAGAAGCCTGTGCCCTGCATGGAGCAGATACAACGTACCGGCTCCCGGATGGTCAAGGGCAGTGTGGGGGGAGATGTTGCCATCTCTGTGGGAGCACAGCAGGGTGAGAGGAGCCTTATCAAACGAGTGGAAGAATCCATATTACACAGCTCCATGGAAAAAGACAGGATGTTTTAGAATAATCTACATTATGCAAGGAAATAAATTTTTCAGCAGGTGTGTGGCACAGGAGTTATTTTCAGTTTTTCCTAAAATCATATCCAAAGGTGCATAACTTTCAGTATCAATTACTATTTTTCATTCTCTTACATCTTTTGGCTGCCGGTGAGTTATTTTTATTATTTAGCTTTTTGTTGTGGTCATAGTTTTTGTCTTCTGATGAAAATTCATACTAAATTATAGTTTCATCATGATGTCATATTCATTCAATTCAACTCACAATTTCTAAAATGACATCTAATTTTAGTCCAGAAAAATTACTATATATTTCATTAAAAAAAAATGCAAAATTAAACCAAATATTCAATCATTTTTATATATTAATTATAGCATTAGGTTTTTATAGTTCTTACACTACTGTAAGATGTTTTTTTAAGGAAATTAATACTTTTTGTTCCACTAGGATTCATTAAATTGATCACATTTTTTTATAATGTTACAAAAGACTTCAAATAATAACTTTATATTCATCAAAGAATCCTGGGGAAAAAAAATCACAGTCCCCACAAAAAAAAAAAATCAAACAAACAAACAAAAAACAGTACAAATGTTCTTGAACACTAAATCAGCTTATTGAGCTTATTAATGCTTTCTGAAGGATCATGTGACACTTAAGACTGGAGTAATGGCTGCTAAAAATTTAGCTTTGCCATCACAGGAATAATTTACATTTTAAAATTTATTAAAATAAAAAAAACTTATTTTAAATTGTAAAATTAAAGTGAAAGTGCAGCAGTATCTACAGAACATTTGGTCAATTTTACAATGTGCTCAGCGTTGATGAAAAAAAAAAACATGCATATTTAACCATACACCAGTCTGTAAACTCTGACCTCGGACAGTCGTGGGAGGAGCGGCAGTGTAGTTCCAAAGGCCATCTTCAAAATGCGCATCTGGGTCATCTGAGGGGGCAGGAGAGGGTGGTGGGGGCACAAAATTTGATAAAGGCACACCCTGTGTGAAGGAATCCAGGCACATAGAGTCAAAGTAGCGGGCTGCCAGGGTTTTGGAGTTGTTGGCATATGGATTCAGGGTTTGGGCCAGTTGGTCCAGAGTGCTGTTGAAGGGAGTTTTCAGTACACACGTCGCACCAACTCCAGAGGGTAGACGCAGGGTGTTAACAATCCTCTGTGGACTGGCATCTGTAGAGAGTTTACTCCTGGAGCAAAGATAGGTTTATAGGGATTGAGAGAGAGACGATGTCTGTGTCTTCATTATAATGCAAAAGAAGCCTGTAGATATTTAAAACAATATTTCTTGTGGCTGACCTGTACTGAAGCCTGTCTTCATTGGCATAAGGGATGAAGTTTCCACGAGGCTGTGTGTAGTTGTGATACTGAGATGGAGACAGAATCAACGGAGGAAGGTCACCTACAGAGCCAAAGAGAGACCAACAGAACAGTCTCCACTTAGGTCTAATTAAGATCTGCATCATTTTTGTGCCAGATAAACTGCTCTGATTAAATTGTATAATCTCCATAATTATATTTTTAAAAAGATACTGCCCCTAAATTGAGATCTACTGGTTCTTTGTTAGTAGCTTGTACTTTAGCTACTAGCAAAGCTTTCATTTGTAAAGTATTCAATTCACTGGATTCTTTACATTTTAATTGATATAAATTATAATTAAATAATTTAAAAATTATATAGTATACACTACTGTTTAAAGGGTTGAGGTCGGTAATATTTTTTTATGTTTTTGAAAGATGTTTTTATGGTCATCTAGGCTGAATTTCTAACATTCTGATTTAGAGTTCAAGAAACATTTCTTATTATCAGTGTTGACTATTTTTGAGGAAATCATGATACAAAAGAACAGAATTCATTTAAAATTTATAGATCTGTAGTAACATTATAAATGTCTTTCTTGTCCATTTTTGATACAATTTTTTTGACCCCAAAATTGTAAACAGTTGTTTATATAACATGATATATGTGCTTACAATGATATGTACCATTATATATCTTGATATAAAATTATTTATACTGTGATACAAGATTTTGGTCAACCTACATTCTCTAGAGAAACAGAACATACAAACAATCACAACACAAGGTGCCCCGTGTCCTTACCAATCTGAGGCACAGATAGAGCTACAGTCATAGCCACACAGACGAAGAAAGCAGGCAGCAGGATCTGTGAGAAAATGCCCTTGGTGTTCCTCTTCGCGCAGTGAAACCTTTTCACTATCAGCCCGTGAAACTGCCGGAGTTTCAGCCACCAGCCCTCAAGCTTAAAGCTGCCCTGGCCCTCGTGTATGGTCGGCTCCGGAGAGGACTCTTCATCTGGAGCACAGAGGGTATATAGTACACTGAGCGGTAGGTAATCTTTATCTGTTACCTACAGGCCATTCAGAGATGTATTTGCCTCAGACAGACTTCCGCTTTGTGTCCAAAGGCGGCAAACAGCACTAGACATAATGTTCTTTCCAAAAGCCTTCAAGATATAACCACAAAAAGAACTGGTTCCTAGTGAGTTCCAAACACGGTCTACAAACACAACTACCAACTGAGCTATTAATGAAGAAAAGCGTCTAAAATATCAGTGCAATTAAACTGATAATAAAAAATTATTATTAAATTAATCAATAATTAACAATAATTAGTCGTTTAAAAACATTTAATACAAATGATCGGTGATAAAAAATTTATGTAATTAATGCATTCAGTTTTTTAAAGAAACAACATGATAATGTGTATGAATTTTTGGTTCTAATCAGAAATGACACAGACCACAACAAAACAGTTACAATGTCAAACTGAATAAATGTGTTATTAACCTACAATTATCCACTTTGAATAATAATAATAATAATAATAATAATGATAGATAGATAGATAGATAGATAGATTCAAATATTTAATAAAATGTGTTTAATACTTTTTTTTCTTTAGTTAATGCATTCAGTTTTTTTAAACAAGGAAATTAAATCGACATAATGTGTGTGATTATGTTAATAAATGTGTTTCTAATCATTAGTTATAATCACTTTTGGATATTCAGTTTTTAGAAATCACACAATGTAGCAGTTACAATGTCAAATTGAATAAATGTGTTAATAACAAAATAATAATGATTAAATTTACTGGATTAAATAATAATAATAATAATAAACTGTTAAAAACTAAATATATTTTATTATTATTATTATTGTTGTTGTTATTATTATTATTATTTAATCCAATTTCCTCACCTCTGAGACTGGCTGAGTCAGGATCCGGGCCATTGTCAAATAATGGGCAGTAGTCTCCGTAGAAGTCAGAATAAAGTCCCCCTTCATCCCCTCTCACTGAGCCAAGAGAAGAGCCGGACTGTAGGGATGCTTGGCTTGGGCTCAGCCTGGAGCACATCATCAGGTTACTGAGCTCCACATCTGGCCGGATCACAGCAGCAGCTGGTGCCCCCTCGCACTGTGACCCTCCTAACAGATTAGAGGGCTTCCCAGCTGATGCTCCGCCGGGAGAGTCATTCATATCTGAAGATAAATAACCATAAATAAAATCTCATGGCTTTAGATGCATTGCTTTAATAGATCTGTCTGACCATCTAACCTGCATCGCTGTTCTCCAGTGAAAGATCTTCTTCTGATACCTTCAGAAATACCTCCTCCAGTGTGGTGTCCATCACACCAAAGCTGGTCAAGGCCAAGCTGTCCAAACTCTGCTCCAGAGCCTGAAGAAAATACACCCAACATATGTGCCCATCAGTGAATGCTTCATATTCAGTTTAATAAAGATTTTATTTATTTTAATCAAAATATGTCTTTCCAACGGTCTAAAAATTTTGTGTGTAGGACCACCTGAAACAGCCTCTCGAAGCAGCCTTTCTTGACAGCCTCAGACGGTAGGACATAAGAGAGCTCAGTGTTGGAGTCGGACACCAGCAGACAGGAGGCAACGTACTGACGGATGAACTGTGTCACTCTGCTCTCTGAACATGGAGATATGGAAGAGGCGGGAGACTGGATTGACTGATCTGAGAACAAACAGAAACATGATGTTAGGTCATGGCAGATGAAAGAGCAGAAGGAAAACTAGGAGATTTTTCGTCTGCTCTTTTGATATTTTAAAGGAACAAACAATGAAATGAGGAACAGAAGAACCATATAAAAAATATGGAGATAAAACAGAAAAACAAACAGTGTTTTACATTGTAAAACAGATATATACCAATAGATTTTATGCATTTATAATAATTAGTTTTTATTAATATTTTCAAATTAGCTTTTAGTTTTATATTTTCAGTTTCCATTTTAATTGTATGCATGTAATTTGCATTTGCTTTTTTAATATATAACTTTTTAGGTTTATTTCAGTTTTAGTTTTAGTTCAGTTTTATTTTTTATTTATTTTTCAGTTACTTATTTCATTTGGTTTCCAAGACAACATTTCTAATCATTTCATAGTTTTTCTCGAATATTAATATTTTATTTCAGCATTATTTCAATTAATATTTTTGATCGTGTCAGTTTAATAACCCTGATTTGTCATTTTTGAATACATCAGGACATTTTGGTACATTTACTGACAGGAAAGTACTGAGAGAAAAATGGAGAATCAAATAGGGAAATGATGTGAGCTGGATTCAAACTCACAATGCCACCTCAGACATTAATAATTACAATTTTCGAAAATGTCCAAAAGTCCACAAATGAGAAGACACATATCTGCACATATACCTGCAGTGTGTGAGTCACTCTGTTTCTTGACAAGTGTAAGTTTGTAGCCGTCTCCATATGTGCTCTTGAGGAACAGGGGGGAACCGCAGCACTTGAGTTTACCATGTGAGATGATGGCAATACGGTCTCCAAGCAAATCAGCCTCATCCATGTGGTGAGTGGAGAGCAGGATGGTGCGACCTGCTCACACAGAGATTATAGTTTTGGACTGGTCATATATTTGGAAACTGATGACCGACACCAGACTTTTAAACAGTACTGTATTCATGATTAGTAATCATAGTATCACCTTGTTTATATTTAAGGATGAGGTCCCAGATTGCTCGACGGGCATACGGGTCCACTCCTGCCGTGGGTTCATCCAAAATCACCGCCCGGGACCCACCTACAAATGCAATTGCCACCGACAACTTCCTCTTCATCCCCCCAGAAAGAGTCTGAACCAGGCTGTGACGTTTGTTGGACAATTCGAGATCCTCTATCATCCTGTGAATTCCGACACACAGCCTTAATGAACTCAGGAATGGGGGCGATTGAGTAAGTGTTAGCAAAATGCGAGTGCGTTAACCCACTTGTCCATCTCCTTCCGGATATCTTCCTCGGCCATGCCCTTCAGACGCGAGTAGAACCACAGATGTTCCTCCACACTGAGCTTGTCGAACAGAACATTGTGCTGGGGACACATGCCCAAATTCTGCCTGATGCGCTCCATCTCTGTGCGGATGTCATGGCCGTATATGGTGGCAGAGCCAGAAGTGGGTGGAAACAATCCCGTGAGTATGGACCTACAAGAGATTCATTGGATACTAAATTAATTTTCTGCAAGACACATCAGTTTCATATATCATCCAAACTTTAGGTCGTAGAGTGCTATTGTGAGCATTAATAAGCACAGCATGGGTCTAGAACCACCCTGATACACTACGAAACACAATATCCTAACACTCACATAGTGGTGGTCTTGCCAGCCCCATTGTGTCCCAAGAAGGAGACAACTTGGTTCTCATGCAGGTTTAGGCTCAGCTTGTTTAGGGCCAGTTTGCTGCCCGTCTTGTAGACTTTAGTTAGTTTGTCTATGCACACCACCAGCGGCAAGTGACTGGGTTCTTCTTCAATTCCACGAGTTTCCTCTGAGCAACAAACAATCATAAATTTAGTAATATGCCTAAAAATATCTCTACAAATTACATTATTCTTACACAAAACATTCTAACTTTAACAAAGAAGTGAAAGCTGATAATATGATGGATGGATGGATGGATGGATGTGAAATGAAGTGTACCTGAGCGTCTGTGTTCCATAGCACAAGCCTGGTCCTCCTCCATCACGCTCAGCCTGGTGCTGCCACCCCACGGCCAATCCCACGTCTCTATGCGGCCACTTCCTAACCAATAGGATTTCTGCAGGGGAAAATACCATGGCCGGGGCAGTCCGTACATCCCTGGAAGAGAAAAAAAACCATTACATAAACCAAAACAAATACTTTAAATTTGCTACTGAATAACAACAACGTGGGCAGTGTTTGCACTGCACAATAATGACATCACTGCAGCTTACCTGGATGCACAGCTTCTATATACCAGGTCAACACACCATATACAATGGCATCAATGGTGAGCATAACCATAGACAGCAGAAGGTTAAAGTCATCGCCCTCTACAGGTGACTGGTTGATAGTACGCCACTGGATTCCAACCCCAGCAACTTCATACAGGGCAAAGTATTTAGATCCCAGACCAAACGCTGTGGTAGACATTAAAGACTGCAGAGAGAGAATCACTTGTTTACTGAAGATCAATAGACTATCAAAACGGAACATGAAATGGATTCATGGGAAGCCTTCATACCGCTATGCACTTCTCAAAGGCAGTGATTTTGTCGTGAGCCACCTCTTCTCTTATGGCCACATACATGTACGGCACATAACTCAGAAAGTAGATGATTCCTCCACATGCTGAAGCCAGTTTGGCTTTGGAGTACAACACCGACACAAGGAAACTTGCCGAAAAGGAAATGGAGAGAACTTTCACATAACATTAACAACTTTTGACTACTGTTCTTCATTGAAAAGCAATGTAAATAGAACGAAACTGCAAGTAAACATTAGAATATGGCTCCAGTACCAGAACATGATGGTGGCGACAGCGTAGACTGTGAGGAAGAGCCAGATGATAAAGGGATCGCTGTGGAGGAGGACTTTGCCGTATTTCAGTATGGCAGTAAGGGCCGTCACTGAGATCGAAAGCTGCACGAAGCCTGTGATGAACCAGGCCACCCAGTGCACTGCATTATTCAAGCCCATCATCTTCATCACCTGTGGAAAAACGACTTGCGTCAACCATGGCACCACTCTTGAACTCTTAAAAGAAAGTTCAATCTATTCTCTCACCTCTTTCAGTCTTTGCTCCTTCTCTGCTACAATGTGCTGGATCATCATGGCCACAGAGTAGACCCAGGATATGACCATACACAGAGGCATCATGTGCTCGATAACAAACAGAAAACTGCAAATGGAAAAACCTGTTACAACTTCTCACCTCCACAAGCTGATACATTACTAGTATTGACCCATAAAATGCAAGCACTTGTACAGTACTCCACCAGTACATTGCTATTATTAACAGAGAAAATGAAAACGACATTTTATTCATCATGGATGTATTATATTGATCATATGTAACAGTAAAGACATTTATAATGTTACAAAACAGCGCTGGGCAGTTTTTTTTTTTTTTTGGATTCTAGCGGTTTGACGGTCACGGATCACGTTTTTTCCCTGACTGTGTCTTTATATTAATCAGAATGCATGAAACACTTGCAGAACCACTGCATTTTCACATTCCAAACAAACATCATACATATAGCATGAGCAGTTTTTGACATAAATTGGATTGCATAATTTCAACATTTATAGCAAAAACAGAATGGTCTGACCCTACCTTTGTGATATTTTGCTACATAAAACACATCTGAACGAAACAAAAACAGCAGACGAGCTGAATGAGAATGCAAATTCACTCACTGACAGCAGGTGTCGCTTATGGAACAGCAGCTACACAGTGTTTCCTTGGTTACCGCTGTAGCTGCGCTTTTAAATACTACATTAATATACATTCTATGGAGGTAAGATGAAAAGAAAATCCATCTAAACTTTACTGAAGACACTCAGTTCCCCTCAGAGATACATTCATAGAAACCCCTCACCCCCAGTTCAGTATTTAGAATTTTCTTCCTATATTTTGCACATCACAAACAGTGAGCTTGAGCTGCCTGCTACAGTATTTTTTTCTTCTTTGCGTTTGTCAGCATCTCTGGCTTCTGTTAATGGTCGCTTACATTGGGCTTATTTGCCCAGTTTAAGAATTAGTTGTGTGCTATTAATAATTTTAAAAGTTTTTCAGCCATTAGTCAGAAGTGTATGCAGTTAACAGGGATCTCCTCTAAATTAATAACACTATGTAGCTATGGTCTTTAGGCACTGTTATTTCTTAAAATTCATACTATTTGCGTAAATAAAACCAGTTTACCATTTTAACCGGTATATCGCCCAGCACTATTATGAAGCCTATTTACTTCAAATAAATGCTGCTCTCTTTAACTTTATATTCTTCAGAGAAATTGTGGTAAAAAAAATGAATCAGTTTCCACAAAAATATTAAACAGAAAAACTTTGTTCAAAAAATGGTTCTTTCGCACCAAATCAGAATGTTAGAATAATTTCTAAATGATAGTGACATTGAAGACTAGAGTGCTGCTGAAAATTCAGCTTTGGCACCACAAGAATAAGCTACTTTTAAAATTATATCAAAATATCCATTTCATTTCAAATTGTAATAACATTTCATAATATTACTGTAATGTTTATCAGATTATTGCAGCTTTGGTGAGCATAAAAGACTTTTCAAACACATTACAAAAACCCAGTTTAAGTAAAAAGTATTGTTTTTAATAAATAACGGCAACCTAAACCTACAACCTGGAGGCAGCATCCAATTCTTGGTAAAGTGGGTGCTTCTGATCTAGGAGAAATTTCTTACTGAGATACCTGGAATACCATTCTTGAGGATACCTAAAAGTTTGCTTGCAGTGGTTAGCATTCCCTTCAACTGCTTTTTTTCTCCACAGTATCGTCTCCAAATGTGCAAATGATACAAAAGGTCATAACACCCAAGATGTTTACACTTTATGACTTTCTAAATTGGCTCTCCTTTAACAGTAGTAACACACATTAAGTTTGTTTCCCCAAAAATATACCCACATCTGTTTGGTCTTAAAGTTTTAAGTAGATCAGAAACATCACAGCACAAAGTAAACTGCCCTAAGATGAGTCTCTGATTGTCCTCTTTCCCCTGAAGGAGACTGACTATTGCGGTGTCATCTGCAAATTTAATGCTGAGTGGAAGCGGAGCGGGGAGCTTGCGTGATTTTGCCTGGAGTGAGGGATGTTTTTTTTCTTTTTTCTTAATATTAGCATCTGTGTTCTTTCTGGCTCCGAGATCATTCAGATCCCAACTCTATAATGTGTATAACGCACATTAACGCAATGCAACTGAACATCTGCGATTCACCATGTCTTAAACACAGCATTTTAGACTATGTATATACAAAAATATACAACAAAAGTAAAGACCAAGCTCACTCGTCTCTAGTGTAGCATGGATAGGGAAACATCTGCACGTAGTTTCCAGGCTCAACAACATCATGGCCCACAAACGTGTTGATGATTGCCCGCTCAATCATATCTAAGAGGAAGAAACATGGAAAATGTCAACACAGCATCAAGTAGACATGCTGAAGCTGAAGTTACACACTGCAGCTTTACACTGTGGGAAAGCTTTGATCCTCTTGACTTTTCTGAGCTCTTAAATAAGTGCTTCCAGAAATGCCAAAGCAGCACTTTACTGACTGGTGCGCCAAGCTTTACATAACCAGGTACACACTTTACCAGAAGAACTTTCATTCTGAATAAAACATCAAATTCATTCCACTTTTCCCATGCCAATTCAGTACTCTGTGGATGTTGTTTCAGAGCAAGCGATTTATTGCTTTGTCAACAGTTTTGTAAAGAATTTTGCACAAATGGCAGAACTAACGCTCATAAGTTTAGATTACCACTCTTTAGATGAAAGATAGATCTTTCACTGCCAATAAGATCAAAACTTTAAAGTGCTCCAGCTAAAGTAATTTACAGTAAATGCAAAACAATATCTGCTTTTGGATATCCTATCCAAAATTTTATTCTAGGTGAAAGGACAAAGTCTTGCTAAGTCTTCTTATCATACCTTGGATCCACACAAAGCCATAAAGGAAGTAAAATTTGCCGCCTGTGTTCGGCCCAGGGCGCCAATAAGCTCGACGGATTTCATTTGTTTTCTCTGTGAAGCTGGAGTTCTGTCGAATCTTATACATAACATGGGGTGGCAGAGATCCATCTTTATTGGTCTGGAAAATCACACCTAGAGAGGATGCACAGATTAAACATATGGCTACTGGCTACATTTAACAATGACTAAGGGCTAAATGAATCATGAAAATGTAGATTTAATGGGGAATGGATGGGTCAGTGTCTCAAACCTTGTTAGGAAATAGCTGAGTCATATTACACTACAAAATCATATGAAAAAAATGTCATTTACATAAAAAAAAATAAAAAAAAAGCCTACATTGCATGGTGATATTATCTTCAGGACAATTTTATCTCCCCAAATTCTCATCACAATAAATGCACAAATATTTTTTTTAAAGATGATTCTCATTATCATAATGCATAATACTACATTTTAAAGTTATTAAAAAAACAAGTGACGTGACATGTGACATGTGGCCAAGTATGGTGACCCATACTTGGAATTAGTGCTCTGCGTTTAACCCATCCAAAGTGCGCACACACACAGCAGTGAACACGCACACACCGTGAACACACACCCGGAGCAGTGGGCAGCCATTGTTGCTGCGGCGCCCGGGGAGCAGTTGGGGGTTCGGTGCCTTGCTCAAGGGCACCTCAGTCGTGGTATTGAAGGTGGAAGAGAGCGCTGTACATTTACTCCCCACACCTACAATCCCTGCCGGTACGAGACTCGAACCTGCAACCTTTGGGTTACGAGTCCGATTCTCTAACCATTAGGCCACGACTTCCCCAAAGTCGTGAAACAAAGAACTTCTGTAAGATATGTTTGAAGGTGCTTTTTGGTAAGGAAAAATTACAATACAAAAAAACAATGAACCAATGCAAACTTCAATAAAATTAATTCAACTGGCTACTTCATGGTAGGAAACCTTTAAAAAGAGTACAAATAGTGAACCCTGAGGAAGCCGTTTATGGCTGAAACCAGTGTGTTTGCAGCCCCTTATTGGTACTCGTTCTTTTTAAATGTTTAACATCATGAAATAGTTAGTTGAATAATAGCTTTTCATTAATGTTTTGAAGTGTACCTGGGATCGTAGTTTTTAGACTGCAATTTTTATACTTTTTCATTTTGAAATACAGTATCACAAATATTACCACAACATAAATAACTGACAGTTTTAATCATTTTTCTTTTTCACGTGATAATTAGAATATGAGAACTTTTTTGTATTATCTGTGAGAATTTAGAGAAAAACAACTTTCACACTGCAAAAAATCATAATGGTCGTAAAAATAGGTTTTTATAAGCAAATATAATTTCTTATTTCTTTTTGATTTGGGAGTGAAAACTTTTATGAGATCCAATGATCACTCACTTGCAAAGACTGAGACATTGTCCTGGTAGGCCTGGTTCAGTGTGTAATTGACAATGCTCTCTTCATCAGGGAAGCCTCTGAAGATATCCACACTGACCTGAGGCATTCAGAACAGATTTAGTTTTTAGAAAAAATGTGTTAAAAAAAAGTTTTTTATAGCAAAACAAACAATGCAATTAAATAAAAAAGGAAATAGTTGTATTCATGTTAATTATAATTCAACCTCAAAACAGACAACACAAGGTTTTTTTGCAATAGATATATAAGATCGGACAAGTTAAATCAAATTCTTCTCCAGACCTTTGACATGAAGTTTGTCCAACCACAGGCAGCATTATCAATGGTGTGTAGCTGCTCCAGTAGAGTGGTTGTGTTTGGCAGGGTGAAGTTCTCCTCCAGCAGACTGTTCATCAGCTCACTGTCTGAGACGTTCAACAGGGCATGGTGCTTCTTCAGGTCTGCAATGAACTACGACATACAGACAACAAAAGACATCAAGCACATGCACAACACAAAGTGCTATTCAAACCAAAAATTCTTAAATTAGCAACTGAAACACAGAATGTTACCTGCTGGAGCCACATCAGGTGATTGTGCAATTTACCCTCCTCTAGGAAGGCCCTTAATTCAGCTGAGATGTTGAGCCACACACGGGCATAATGAGTCACGTTCCCCACAAAAGCAAATGTCTCATTGGCCTAAAGAGAGGGAAAAAAAACAATCTGATCAAAATTTTCCAGCTATTCAAATGATTCTCTATTAATTGGGTACAACCGAAATTAAATGAAAGAATTACCAGCAGGAATTTATTTTTATTTTTATTTTTTTAAAGGCATTTAGATTCAGTAGTAATTAATTTGCTTTTTATTTTTTTTATTTTTTTTTACTGCAAACCCAATTTCTACATTATAAATGCTCTTTTTCAGCCTTGAAACACCTCAGGAGTCTGGACTTGCCTTTTGTATGACCTTGTCCACCTCTGAGCCAATGGGAGAGTAGAGGATTTTGGGATTTGTAGTCATGAGATGGACAAGTAATCCCAAGTTTCTTTGTTCTTTGCTGGTAAAGCCCAGGGAACTCATATTGCCCTGCTTCAGAGCTTCTGGCTCAATAATCCTGATAAAACAACAAAGATTATTGAAAAAAAGTCATTTCACATTCAGAAAGGTAACACACCGTGACACTCATATACACACCTGTTATTTCCACACAGAATGGGCTGAAGACCTGCCCACAGCTGAACAAAGGCAGAAAACTGTGATCTAGGGTTTTCAGTTTCTGCCTCATTTCCTGCGGCTCCCTCTCCTTCCTCCACAGGGCTGTCTGTTGTGTTGGGACCCCATGTTGTTGTGTTGGAGCTCCAGGAGGTGGTGTTGGCTATAGGAGGAGGCTGGTGGCCTGCACAGGCCCCTTTAGGGAGCAGTCTGGCCAGACCTGACAGCAAATCCACATCCCTCAAGAGCCGTTCTACATCCGCCAGGTTCTTCAGCAGAGCGCCGAGATGGGATTGATCCAAAAGACCGGATATGTTGGACTGCTCCAGACGCAACTGGGGAAAGAGGACAGGAGCGAGTGACATACGGAGAAAGGAAAGAGGAGTAATGCTTAATCCTAAATAATACGTACAGTATCAGTGTTTCTTCAACTAATGGCCACTTTTTTGACTTGTACACTTTCTTAAACACTCTTTTTATACTCTCAATAGTTTAATTTGTCCACTAATAATGTCCAACTATATGGGACAAGTCTTTTTTCTCTGAAAGCAATGAAAAGTCCTACCACAGTGTAATTTACAGCACATCTTAAATTCTATATTGTGTTTAATAGCACTCTCTGCCCTTTTTAGTCAATTACGGTGATGGAAATGTCATTTTTAGCAATAATGAATGGCGTAAAATGACAGATTCCTGTGTCTTTCTAAAACTAGTTTCACAGTTAGCATTTATATATCCTTAAAACAGAAAATAGATAAACAAATAAATGGCAAAATTGTTTGATGTGGTACATTACAACTGGGACTGTTGTAATTTTTGGAAAACGGATAATTAATTTTCACACAAATGTATTAATATGGTTAATTTATTTATGTATTTAAGTGTAAATACCAAATTGTGTCTGTTTAAGAAGATGTGCTGTTCTTGCATGTACCTGATCAAACACTCTCTGTGTATCAATCTGATCTCTCAATTCTTCACTCAACTCCCCGAACAGCTCCGCCCTCTGTTCTGCCCTTCCACCACAAACAGTCATTTGATAGGCCTTTAAAACTGCCTGTTGTTTCTCAGGGACCAATAGGATTTTGCTTATCTCACTGTTGCCTCCTTCCCCACAAGTGAGGGTTTCCAGCACTGCACCAGTCAACAGAATCCCCTAAAAAAACAGGAAAAAGTGTAAGAAGTTTTGTGAGGTGTTGTTATTAAACTGAAGAGTACGATTTCTGCAGAACAAAATTACAAAAAAAAGTTTTTAACATTTAAACCACTTAAAAAGTGGAGTTGCAGACCAACCTCCATCTCACGCAATGCTTGAGGATCAAATTTTTGGCCTCCTCCACCTCCAGCAATCCCGAGTGCCTGGGACAGGACTTTGAGCAGAGCTTGACGGTGAGCAGCTTTGGTTGGGTCTCTCAATGCCTTCTGAATCAGACCCCCCTCCAAACTACGCCAGCCTCCAAGTAACTGCTTCTGAGCATGAATGAGGAGAGAGACTGTTTTATAATTGCAAGGTTATAAGCAATTGCATGCCCTAATTGGAAAGCCCTTCACAGCAAATGACTAACTACTACTACCTATAAATATAGCAGGGGCGTTTTGTCCCTGTTTTGAGTAGGCAATATCTATGCAAAACAATTTGGCACTAGAAAATGATCAACAACAGTCTAAACGTACCTTTTTTTTTTATTTAAAATGCTTCAACTTGACGAGACTAGTGTGACATTAATGTGCAAACATCATTTCAATTGGCCCAGCAGCATGAAATGTAACCAGAACTTAAGAATTTATCACCTGATAGTATAAGTTGGCTCATCTGTATCTCACCAGTGATTTAAGACATTCTCAGGGCTTAAAGTTTTCCGGCACCGTGCCGGATCTCTGGCGTGTGGCGTTTAGCTGCGTAAAATAAAACCCCCCCCCCCACAAAAAAAAAAAAAAAAACCTTTGTAGGGAAGGGACTTTGCCTCCTCATTTCAGTAGTCTGCTTCATGGCGCTGATGCATAGTGAGATCACACCTAACTGTCTACTGAATCCAAATCAAAGTATCACAGTATCAGTTTCAAAACTAATTTTTATGGCTGTCAAAATGAATATAGTATAATGCATATTACCATATTTAAAATTTTCCATCGATTAAGCATCCTAACAATCTGATATCATTTCAGTCTGATATCTTAACCTCACAACCTCTCTACAAAAGCCCTAACCCAAAGACATGCCAACAAATCAGCAAACACAGCAAATGTTGAAGAAAAAAAAGGTGCTGCCTGCTTCCCTGACTCTTTTTTGCCGTTTACAGTCTCTAGGGCTGGGCCACAGACAGGTGATTTCTCAGGACTCTGTGATATCTGTCAAGTAGTAGGTACATTATGTGTGTAGTATTCAAAAAAAAGTTGCTTACAGCAGCTCAACAAGTCTGAAATATGAATGAGAAAGGCACTGCAGCAGCATTGGCACTGCATTAAGTCTGTAAAGTGTAGGACAATTATTATATTATTTAATTATTGCAGACTTGCATTACTGTAAGTTTGCAAGACTGCATTTTAATGGAGTCTAAGAAATATAGAGTCAGTATGTTATTTTTAAACCAAATGTATTTTTATATTTATTCAATTAGAAGTTACTGTTATACAAAAATGCTTTGAGACATATAATAAAAATAAAATAGAGAATTGCATTTTTGCAAAGATAAAAAAGTGTGGAAGAAAAATGCATTGCTCCATAAATGCACCTTTATACAATGTGTTTTATTTAGAATATGCAATCCGCTATGAGTGTCAACCACACAAAAACGGCAAAATCTAATAATTACATATACTACAATTCAAAAGTTTGGGGTCGGTCATATAGAAGTAGTTTTAATATATTTTCTATGTCAACATACTTAATGTAAATTATTCCAGTGATGCTAAAGCTGAATTTTCAGCATCATTACTCCAGTCTTCAGTGTCACATGATCCTTCAGAAATCATTCTAATATGCTGATTTGCTGCTCAAGAAAAATATATTTGATTATTATCAATGTTGAAAAACAGTTGTTTTCTATTTTCACTACTCTTTGATGAACAGAAAGAAAATCATTTATTTGAAATGTATTTTTTTGTAACAATGTAAAAGTTTCAATGTCGATCTAATTCATAATTTCTAAATAAAAGTATTTATTTCTTTTAAAGAAAAAAATTACCGACCCTAAACTTGTGAACAGCAGTGTACATACACATACAGATGGAAATGTGTGTTTCCGTCATTCTGTACCTCAAGCTGTACAAGCTTCTCTCCAGGACTGTGGGGTTCATGCTGCCCTTCATCTTTTTCTCCTACCTTTGATCCCACTTTAGGATACGTCCCAAAGATGAGATTATACACCTGAACAGAGTACACACACACACGCACACACACACACACACACACATGCACAAGCACAGATTTAGAAACTCCTATTTCACACATACTTTAAATAGCCAGAGTAGAGAAGAAATGAAACTCCCTAAGGAAAATGAAGATTTCATTCGGAAACTCACAAGAGCATATCTCAACACTTTTACATCGACTACAGCACGTTAACCCGACACATTAAAGCGCGTTACGCTGGAGCTCCTCTGCCCTAAAGCATTAGATTCTATCGCACGTCCTCTCTCTCTGTTGTCATGGAGCAGAATCGTTAATGGTGCTGTAAACCCGAGCTGAGACTCCAAAGAGGATGAAAGAGGAAGAAGGCTCAGAGGAGCATGACGCTGAGTCATGATTTGGACTTCAAAAGCACTGCTGTCTGACCTGGGTTGGAGGAAAAAGGAAGTTGAGGAGAGAAGACAGACCTCTTTCAGGTTGATGGGGGAGGAGAGCAGCAGGCTGGCGGTGTCATTTGGCAGGGAAAGGTTTGTGATCAGGAACTGCTGGAACATCGACTGGTTCCTGAGGACACTTCCCACAGTAAAACCTGAAGCGGAGACATGCACAAAGTTTTCATTAAAGAAAATGTTATTTGCTGCAGTTGATGTATATGTACACTACCGTTTAAACATTTGAGGTCAGTAATTATTATTGAAAGAAATTCATACTTGTATTCAGCAAGGATACAATAAATAATTACAAGTGACAGTAAACACTTTTACAAAAAATGTCTATTGTTTGTCAGTGTGGTCCAGACTGGCCAATACTGTTTTGAGAAATGAAATTATAGATAAGGAGGGGGGGGGGACAACAATTTAATAAAACGTTTACACTGGCCATGTATGAACTACTACCATTGTTCTGTTAAGTTTACAAGGGAATTTCAAAGTTTCTCAGAAATCTGAATTTTAGCATCTTCTGCTGATGCAACAAAATTGTGCAAACCGAGTGATACATTTGTAAATGTAGGTGGAAATGTTCTATGAAGAAAGAGTCCTGACCGACAATAGTTGATCAAGAGTGTTTGTCTAAGACCTAGGTTCACTGACCTTCATGTATATATAAATATATATATATTTATATTAGTGCTGTCAAACGATTAATCAGTTTTAAAAATGAATAAATACTGTTTCAGTCTTTCTACTTTAAAACTTCATGTTTAATTCTATGTGTTACTCGCTGTTTCTTTGTAATTTATTGTGAAATTACTAGAAATTTCTGAATTCTACACCATTTTCTGCACCATTTTTTCCAGTGTAGTATTGGGCTCTTCTGGCTGGTGGATGAGAATGGCCATGCTCTTTACCAGCAAAATTGATGTACACTACCGTTTAAACATTTGAGGTCAGTAATTATTATTGAAAGAAATTCATACTTGTATTCAGCAAGGATACAATAAATAATTACAAGTGACAGTAAACACTTTTACAAAAAATGTCTATTGTTTGTCAGTGTGGTCCAGACTGGCCAATACTGTTTTGAGAAATGAAATTATAGATAAGGGGGGGGGGGGGACAACAATTTAAAATATTTTACCTCACAAACCTATATTTATATCTCACACCAAAATTAAACATTTTTAGTTAGTCCGAAAAAGGAATCACAGCATCATCATATCAAGATTTAGATGGCGTAATACTGTTTCACCAGGTCCTTGTAGTGTTACTTATAAAATATTATAGTATATTAATATTTTGTATTATAGCTTTTATGTTGTTACAAAAATGTCTATTTCAAACAAATTGCTGTTGAACTCTTCTGAACTGGCTATTCATTTAAAAATCCTGAAAAAAAATTATTACAGCTTCAACTAAAATATTGAGCAATAAGAAATATTTATTGAGCAACCAATCAGCATATAAGAATAATTTTTGAAGGATAATTGAACATTCTGAAGGACATTAAAGACTGGAGTAATGGCTGCAGAAAATTTGGTCTTGCCATCACAGGAATAAATTACATTAAAATAGATTAAAATTAGAAATACATTAAAATAGAAAACAGTTATTTTAACTGTAATAATATTTCAAAATATTGGTTTTTACTGTATTTTTAATGAATATAAAGACTTCTTTCAAAAACTTAAAAAAACATTATCAACCTCAAATTTTTGAATGGTAATGTAGATGCTCAATACAATTTAAGCAAGTACAGTATAAAGCAATTAATGTGATATTTAAAAAAAAACTTCACATCAGCTTCATCTGCAGTCTTCCTCTTTCGCATGCATGCATTATGAATAAAAGTGCATGGAGAACAAAGTCCAGTATGACTGTGACTTTAGTATCTGTTTACTTTGCTATGGTACCTGTAAGAAATCAGTTCAATAACACTCAAAACGCCAGATGTCTGCCGCTTTGGGTATGTTTGTCTAAAATGTTCTGCTGTATGGTTGTTTTCAGTGTGGTCTATGATTCCCTTCAATACATGGTTAATAAAATCATCATACAGTTGGAAATATACAAGGTAACTTTTTAATGCCAAAAGTATACATATAGTGTCAACAGAATATATGCCATCCACAGTTGAGCCACATAAAAGCGTGCATTTGAAACTGCATCTGAAATCTAACTGTGTTTGAAATGTAATAACAATGTGATTTAAATACTAAATCCAGCAGAAACTGTATCGCTATTTTATTAAAATAGTCATTTGCTTCTAATTTCTCATTTGCATGTACGGTTATGGTCATGGTTGGTATATGTATGCATGCATGTGTTTTCTGACCATGGCTGGTGTTGTAGTGGCTCTCTAGAGGGACTTGTGCTGAGCTCAGACTTTCAAGGTGCTGCTGCAGAGACTCCAGCTCCTCTCCCAGACTGGGTCTGTCTGACGTAAACAAGTGGTTCTGCTCCACGACTTCACTGATCCTTTCTAACAACTGAGTCACACTGAGAAACAGGAGAAAAAGAAAGGTCAAAGAAATGAAATAAAAAGAAAAGAAGAACAAGAAGAGCAGAATAAAAAGAAGAGAAAGGGCAAATTGTATAAGCGGAGTAACCAACTGAAGAAAAAAAAAGCCAGTGGTCCAGACTGGCCGATACTGTTTAGAGAATTTAGATTATAGATAAGATAGGGGGGAAAAAACAAACCTATGTTTATATCTCACACCAAAATTAATACATTTTTAGTTATATTTTTCAAATTAAATTCTAGCGCAAAACACCAAAGTCCAGAAAAAGAATCACAACATCATCATATCAAGATTTAGATGTTGGCATAATACTGTACCACCAGGTCCTTGCAGAGTTATTTTCGGATTACTTATATAATATTATAGTATATTAATATTTTGAATGAGCTTTTTTATATTTTAAGTTTTCCTTTTAATTTTAGTTTATATTTTAGTCATTTCGTAATGTTTTTGTCATTTTTTATATATTTCTATTTAGCGTGAATTTATTATTTCAGTTTTAGTTAAATTAATTGTATAAACTTATTTTATTTCAGTTAGTTTCTAAGGCAACCTTTCCAATTTTTTTCTGTTTGGGTTTTTTTAATTTAATTTTTTAACTAAAAATATATATATATTTATATTAGTGCTGTCAAACGATTAATCAGTTTTAAAAATGAATAAATACTGTTTCAGTCTTTCTACTTTAAAACTTCATGTTTAATTCTATGTGTTACTCGCTGTTTCTTTGTAATTTATTGTGAAATTACTAGAAATTTCTGAATTCTACACCATTTTCTGCACCATTTTTTCCAGTGTAGTATTGGGCTCTTCTGGCTGGTGGATGAGAATGGCCATGCTCTTTACCAGCAAAATTGAAAAACAACTGTAGTAAAACTGATCAAGGAGGCAGTCTTGCTACTTAAGCTAGCGCACTCCTAAACCCAAGAAATGCTGCTGACCAGTCATGCTGAGGTCATAGTTATGTAGTTCTATCATTACAATCCATCAAACGATCAAATCACATCTAAACACAAAGACAAGATCCATTACACAATCAAACAGCTCGTAAGATCACTATTACAGGTGGTGATGGTGACTGCTATTCACACCATATAATGAGAACTGAATCCATTAGAGCCCATCTTAGTCATCGAGAGAGGAAAAATCAGAAACAGAGCGTAGGTGGACTCACGTGGAGTTTTTATATTGCAGGAAGCCAAACTCATCCCTCTGACCATCCGGACACAAAGACTGCATGATGGGAATGATGCCCGCCGAGGTGAGAGGGGCCGCGCTGTAGAAGGCTGGACAGAACCGGGGGAAAACAGACCACCAGGGTGGAGGGACGGAGAGGATGGAGGTGACAGAAAAGTGAAATCCAGTATTGCAATGAGGTTTAAATGGTTTTGACGAAGGTGCAGGTGTGTTCAGGTGTAGAGGAGAGGAACATAAATCAGAGCGGTGTACGGATGGAGATAAATATTTATGGCCGGGAATGTGAGTGAGTGAGTGAGTGAATGAATGAGCGGGATCATAGGATGCGGGATAATAGAACAAACAAAGGCAATGATATTTTCCAAGGTCCACAGATCAAAGATTTGGGGAGAGATTAAAAGACAGGGAGAGAAAAAGAAGCAGCTGTCACATATCAGAGAGCAAACACAGAGTCATAGAGGGTTTCAGATGTCAGATCGCTTCGATACACTCCAAGTGGCCTTCAAATTATTCACTTCATCACGCACGCAGAGGTTGACTGGACAAGCTGTCACTGAAGCAGAGAGAAACTAGCATCGCTGTGTAGCACGGCTCTTCTACACCCACATGCTGCCAGTCACGTCTTCTAGAACACAGGAGTGGACAGACGTGTTTAGATGACTCACTTCCCCACTGCAACCTGCTCCTCTACACACTTGATATGGAGTCAAATCTCGGGGATGGGTAAATGATCGTATTTGTCTCTCAAAGACCACAAACATTATAGGAGTGACAACCATGGATCAGGAGTTGCTGCCTTCAAGTCCTCCTGGGAAATTCCAAGTTCAGAAATCGTAATTTTTGTCATGATGTGAGGGATTCTGGAGAGAATAAAATGTAGGCTGGCAATTTTATAACAAAGGAAGGGAGGTTTTTAGCACTAAATAAAATAGCAAAGGGCAAAAAGGTGCACATTTAGTGTGTACTTTTTGCATTCTCGTGCTTTATGTAGTTTGGTCATGTAATCATGTCACCTAAATTATAGTGTTAAATTATAAGTAAGCTTAATTTTTTATACTAATTTATTTAGTACACTAGGATATATATATATATATATTGCCATATAATCTCACATATAATACTAAATTCTTATTTTTATATAAAAAATGTAAATTACAAATTTGTGCAGTATAATATCATATCCCTAGTAAAAAAGTAATATATTTAATACATTTATTTCATACTAAGTATAGTTCAAATCTATTACTGACTTATTGCTCAAGACTTACTGATATAAAAATTATAATTAAACTTTATTTGGAGTACTACTTGTGCACAATGCAAATTTCTTAATATTAAGCCTAAAATCTGTTTTAATGTCACTATTGAGGATTGTATGATTTTTGAACAATATTGGTCTTTAAATGCAAGATATTTAAAGTGTACCTGAAGTATACTTGCAATAGTTCTACTTTAGCACAATCAAATATACTTCAGTATATCTTTAGTTGGACTTCAGCACCACTTCTGCACAATTAAAGTGCATTAAGTACAAAATTCCAATTTAGCAGACTTTAAGTATACCAGTTTAGTATACCAACAGTACAATTACAGGGCGTTTTAATTAAGTACATACATATGTAAATGTATTTGTAGTATACTTAGCATGAATTAAATGCATTTCAAATACATTTTAGTATATTTATTTTTTACAAGTGTACTTTCACAACTTCACTTTAATTATGACCAATACCAACCTGCTTACGTTACGATTCTTTAATTGACAAATCATCGACAGCCGATAGTTAGTCTAATGATCACACAGGCTGTGACTTTTGTGACCTTTCAGATGGCACTTCTCTCATACAACAATCCCTTTCTACGAATTTGCCCTACATTGATATGCTAATGACTAAATTAGGCCTATAACTGCTGAGATTATTTAATGAAGCCTTAATTAATGAATGGCTCTGTGAGAAGTGATACTCCATTAGAGTATCACTCAATTCAAATTCAGTGCCTCCCTTCACTTTGGCAGCCCTGACTGAAATGTAAACACGAGGCAGCTGGCACTGCTGGGGGGATCTAGAAGGTTACTTAATGGTAAGTGCTGACTCTTTTGCCTTCCCTAAGTGTTTTGTCACTGCGGCGTGTGGTCTGTGGAGTTGGCATCCTCATCCAACATTGCCCTCATTAGCTAAACACCGCTCGCCATCGGCACCTGATGACTCTGCGAAAAACGTCCCTCGATTGACGTTAACACTGAGGCGTGTTATATTTCTGCTGTTCCAGTGACAGGTTGTCTGCTCACAAGAGGTAGCTGTGTTTATTGCCTCGGTTTCCTAACTCTTATATCTGACATCTGCACCCGCTCCGCAAACACAGCTGAGGATTAAAAGAGCAAAGATCAGTCAGGGGAAATAACCTGATGGCTCAGTAAGTGGATGAATTCAGTATGTGTGTGTGTTTATGTGTGTGTGAGTGTCAGACAATTAGAATCAGCTCATTGGTTGAAGAAAGCACAGATGTGTCATTATCAAGACAAGGTGTTTGAATAACGTGCCGCCGTAAGAAAGATCCTTCGTTCACAGTGGGTTGTGGATTATGTTAGTGTTCACAGAGACATATGGGAGCCCAACACCTAAACCTCTTACACCAGGCGTGACGCAATAAAATGGCAAGCGATAAAAGCTATGCTAATCCGAGTTTCTGAAATCAGCTGTAATAACGACTAGTTTCCATTTCTGCAGCATTGTGACTAGCCCAATATTTGAAAACACCCTAGGTGGAGTGAGGTTTTGGATTACATCATCATGGTATTGTGGAATATTATTACAATTTAACGTGCTTTGTTGTTACAATGCTTTATATTTCATTATATTTTAAAACGTTATTTATTCCTGTAATGGCAAAGCTGAATTTTCAGCAGCCATTACTCCAGTCTTCAGTGTCACGTGATCCTTCAAAAATATAAATCTTTCGTAACATTATAAATGTCTTTACTGTCAGTCTTGATCAGTCCTTGCTGAATAAAAATATTAATTTATTAAAAAAGTCTTAATGACCCCAAACTTTTCAACAGTAATGTAAAAAAATTATTTTAATATAAAAGGGGCTTGTCTGACTTTGATGCGTACTGTATATTGCCATTATTATGTAATGCAAAAAAACATTATTACTGGTCTTTAATGATAATAACAAGTTACTTGTAATGGAGGATTTATGCCAATACTGTCTAAAACTCCAATGTAGGGCATTTCCAAACTTTTCGTGGCCACAGTAGGCCTATATTTAAAGTCAAATATGGATGGGTCTTCAGTGTGGATGTGCAAATTTCATATCGCTGGAATCTTGATGCATCACACCTGGTTATGTCACAATGTTATTATTATTTATTTATTTTGAATACATCATGTGCATGTGTATATGTTGACATATGGGCAGGCTCCAGTCTGCACATACTGCTGGAGTCATTCGTGTCCTTTTACCATTAGATTGATGCATGAGACAGTTGATATGACAAATACAAAATAGCAGCACAATAAACACGTTAAGAGTCACACACACGATTAGAGGACACACAGCGAAATGATCCCACATACTCAAAAGAGTTAAGAATTCAGCCACACACACACAAAAAACAAACATTTTGACTTACACACTGGTCCAGCATGCAGTTAACATGCACGGTGAGGAAAAAATTAAGAATGAAAGACAGAGGTAGAGAGAGAGATACAAAAGTATTGAGGACAGATGACAGAAAGAAACAAAAATAAAACAAAACATGGTGTGATTTCAGCATTGAAAATAACAGACATTGTGATGACATACAAATGAGGGTGTTCTGTGAAAGAAAAAATACTACATGGCTAAAGCTCTGTCTAACAGCCAAAAATCTTTGCAATCAATGACAGATTGGCAAAGTTGTATGAAGCAACCACATAGAAAAATGGACAAATTATCATATTATTATAATGAACCACAAACAACACTTTTTGAACAATAGTTCATCCAAAAAATGAAAATTCTGTCATCATTTAACCGCCTTCATATCATTCCAAATCTGTATGAATTTCTTTTCTTCAGTGGAACACAAAAAGTGATAAACGCTTATAAAACGCTGATAAAAAGCTTAACATTCATTGTTGGCAAACCGGCGATTTGAATGTACACAAAAGAGTGAAATATTTAAGATCTAGAATAAGATTTAAGGACTGTTAGTCAACACAAATATATCTCACGGCTTCAGAATAATTGGATATAATCTCAATATATCAATATATACGGGGGCAGTCGTGGCCTAATGGATAGAGAGCCGGACTTGTAACCCGAAGGTCCGGCAGGAATTGTAGGTGGGGGGAGTGAACAACCAGTGCTTTCTCCACCTTCAATACCACCTGCTAAATGTCTAAATGTACCACGACTGAGGTGAGACCCTTGAGCAAGGCATCGAACCCCCAACTGCTCCCTGGGCGCTGCAGCATTGGCTGCCCACTGCTCCGGGTGTGTGTGCACGGTGTGTGTGTGTGTTCACTGCTGTGTGTGTGCACTTGGATGGGTTAAATGCAAAGCACAAATTCCGAGTATAGGACGCCATACTTGGCCACACGTCACTTCACTTCATATATATACAGTATATATATCATTGTATAGAACAATCAGGACATTCTGCAGTGTAATTCTTTTGGTGTTCTGCAGAAGAAAGAAACCCACACAGGTTTAAAACGACCTGAGAGTGTGTAAATGATGATAGAATCATTCATTTTTGAGTGAACTGATAAAGGATAAAGGGCCTAGTCTAACTAATTCAGACACACTTAGACTATTGTATTGCATATGTGAACTTCATAAAAACTCCAGGTGACAACAGAAGTGATCTGACCACTGGAGAGCAAGAGTGAGCTGGGTTGGGGTAAGAATCACCATACACTTCCTTCATCTCCTACTCCTAATCTTCTCTCTCTGTGCTGTCACTTAACTTACCTTCTTTCACAGGAATGGCAGGCTTCTTCTGCCGCAAGCCCAGGAGTATGAAGAAGAGCACCAGTGGGATGAATATCTCAAATGCAAGAACCCACTGCAGAGATAAGCATACAGAGAAAACATGAAAGCCACACTAGCCACTGTGGCTGCTGGTTATATACATATAGCATAGTTGATTCACTACAGTTGGTGCGAACCTCTTTGAACATCTGAAATGTCACATTGTACATCATTAAAGATCTTACTTAAAATAAATGCTGTTTGTTTCAACTTTCCATCACAAAAAGTATTAAGCAGCACAACTGTTTTCAACAGTGATAATGATAATAAAAAATGTTTCTTATGCAAAAATCAGCATATTAAAAAGATATCTGAAGGATTATGTGACACTGAAGACTGAAATAATTTATTTTTGATACAGCATTGGTGATTCGTGAGCATAAGAGATGTATAAATATTGGTAGTAAATATAAAAATACATTACATTCTTTCATAATGGGGCCAGTGAAAATGTTGGCTGGCTCAAGTGGATAAGCAGGCAAAAAAATCCCATTGTTGAGGCCTGCCAACCGATTGAGTCCAGTGTCAGAGATTGATCCGGTAAATACAGACTGGCCAATTGAAGAGTTTGCTTAACATGCAATATTTGCTAGTGGGTTGGCCAACACACCTGCTAGTGCTTCCAAACAGCCCGTTCCAACAATTATTAAAAGATGAAATGAAATATATCACATACACGTACACACACACTCCACAGCAGGTGTTTGGAAAGAGATGTCAAATGCTTTCAGGCACATTGTTTAAAGTGTGCAAAATACAGCAGAAAAGCTGCATCTTCCAACATTTACCTCTGCATTATTTCCACTACTTCCTTATTTGCACTCTCTCTCTCTCTGCAGGAGGCTCTTTTTGGACAAATCTGAGCTGAAGTTACTGAGAAATAAGCTGTTGGTTGAAGTGTAGACTATGATTAGGAACTCACAGGGTTATAGCCAAGGATGCTATTTATAGCTGAACTGAGATCAGCCTCTTATTCTTCCTCCCTCTACGAATGCGTGCGGCTGCCATCTGTGCTTGACCGAGAGAGGCTGATCTCAAATCAGCATCTAAGGGCATCCTGTCCTGACCACAATGTGTCTTTCACTGCAGCACAGCATCACGCTGACCCCACATCCCGTCTCTGTTGACAAGTGACAAGAGAAGGTGCAGAGGTTTTTCTCTCGCCGTTACACATTCTCCCCATCGCTGCAATTTCTGAAGGTCACAACAAACAAGAAGCTCCTTTTACATGCATCTCTCACAATACACAAAGCCGCATCTGACACGACACACAAAGCTTCGCTTACGAGACTCTCGGCGCTGAGCACGGGGGGTGTAAACACCAGCCAAAGAGTGCTTGTTTCTTTTTACAAAGTCCTGTGGCTTATTTAAGCTTTAAAGGGGCAAAGAAAAACATTGCTTCACTCACAACTCAGTTTTAAACTGTAATTTGTATGTTGGAGGCTGTTCATCTATTATTTGTGGAGCTATTGTGTCTGCCTATGAGCACTGCTCTTATACTCAAGTGAAGTCAAGTCTATTTGCATAGCGCTTTTTTTTTTACAGTGCACATTGTTTCAAAGCAGCTCTACAGATTGGATTACTTTATTGTGATATATCTTTACCGTGACCCATCTCATGGTACAAGATTTTAGTCATACATCACCCACTGTTCTGCTAGAAAGTTATTACATAATTTAAATGTGGAAGACAGACAGGGCATGCAAACAATCAATCGCTGAGTTATGACAATATTTTGGCACAGGTTACTATTGTAGTCGTTGGATAGCGTCATATCGTAGGGGGAGTAGATCATCTGGCAGGGTGAAGCTGGATCTAGAAGGCCTTGATACCAAAATTTTATGACCTTTATGACTGTGATGGATTATAATGGTGGAGAAACCATAAGTTTTTTGCTTTGGTAATAATCTTATTTGTCTAATGTAAATATGCAACAACAGTTAAGGCTGGAATACACCACACTACACAGATTTTTGCACCGATTTAGAGTCCGGAGGAGTTGACGCACCAAAAGTCAAAGCCAGTCTGCAGATTTGAGTTGACAGATTTAATAGAAAATCACGTAGTGTATGATTGTCACAGACTCTGATTTTTTTAGCTTCAGACTATTGCCGCTTTTCTATTGTCGGAATGAACAGTGGCATATCCAACGGTTTGATATTCATTCAGTCTGAGGATATGAAACATGCTTGATATTTTGAGCCAATTTTAGAACACATATTGTAATAGCAACATGTAGTTTCTGCATGAAACAATGAAATATTTTTGTGCTGTTGGATTGCATTTCAACTGGAATTAAAGCAATTAAATTTTAGGACTATATTGTATAAAGAAAAACCTGAACCTATCAAATTTGTCTAACGTAAATTATGCATGTTTAAGTAATTTTACCTTACCAATAGAACTACTGTATAACACCAATATCACCCTAGTGAAATATAAATATGCTAAAATGTATTTGAAATACATTTATTTCATTCCAAGTATACTATAAATACATTTACATATTTATGGACTTAATAAAAAATACCCTGCAATTGCACTTTTTGTATACTAAACTAGTATACTTAAAGTCTGCCAAGTTGGAACAACTTATTTTGTACTTAATGCACTTTAATTATCGCACTGAAGAAATACTGAAGTATATTTGATTGTGCTAAAGTGGAACTATTGCAAGTATACTTCAGGCACACTTTAAATTTCTCACATTTAAAGACCAATATTATTCAAAAATCATACAATTCTCATCAATAGTGACATTAAAATACATTTTAGGCTTAATATTAAGAAATGTGCATTGTGCACAAGTAGTACTCCAAATACAGTAAAGTTGAATTATAATTTTTATATTAGTAAGTCTAGAGTGATATGTCAGTAAATATGTTAATAGATTTGAACTACACTTAGTATGAAATAAATGCATTTTAAATATATCACTTTTTTACTAGGGCACCATCACAGGTTGGTAATATGTTTAATGTTTTTATCAATGTTCACCAAGGCTGCATTAATTTAATAAAAAATACACAAACGGTAATAGTGTGAAATATTATTAATTTAAAATAACTGTTTTCTATTTTAACACATTTTACAATGTAATTTACTCATGTGACAAACCTGAATTTTCAGCAGCCATTACTCCAGTCTTCAGTGTCATACGAAAACAGTGAAAACAGTTGTGCTACTTCATATTTTTGTGGAAATTTTTTTTTCAGGATTCTTTGATAAATAGAAAATTCAAACGAACAGCATTTATTTTTTTCTTATACTGTAATATATACACACACACACACACACACACACACACACTTCAGTGCAATAACATTTCCCAACCAAACCCAGACACCATTATGCACTACAATATTCTAGTTAGTGTCTTTCAGCTGTCCACTCTTTATACTTTATCTGCTAAAACACTTTCCATTCACCAAATGACTGAATTACATCTTTGTGCCACTGTCCACCGAGCACAGCATCCATCACCAACCAACAGGCAAATAATGCGAGCTAAAACACTTATCCTCAAATAACAATGCATGCTGAGAGATATGAGGTTTTCTGTCAAGTAAATTTGAGATAATGGAATTGCTTTTACTGTGCGAGAACTAGAGAACGGCTCATATAAACCTCCATATACACCTCTCCCCAGACAGCTCATATGAACGGAGCCTGCATAATCAGATAAAACTCACATGCACAAAACATCATTTAGCATTCATAATTACATTCTAACCAACGAATGCAAACAGGCCCCACAGTCGCCTGGGATCGAGACACCGAGCGCTGTTTGTGTTTGTGTGAGCTGTGTTTTTGAAATGGGTATGTTTTGTAATTATTATACTGTGTTTGGATCAGAAAGTCTGTATGTTTCAGCGATTTTTCCACTGGTACGAGCGCATTTATTGCTTAAAATGGCAGCAACAGCACCGATGTCCAATAAAATTAGTTACATTTATTATTGGAATAATTACTGATGCAGTACGTAATGCAGTAGTCAATTGCTTTAGCAACACTTTTTATGGTTCATCCCATCAGAATTTAGATTCCATCCTTGTTTTTATATCTGTACCTGCTTGTAAGTGCAAGACTCGGATGTTAGGACTATGTAAAGCTGCTTGGCGAGACAAATACGCCTGTTAAAAGCCCAATACAAATAAATCTAAGAAAAAAGTCTTGACCAGGGGCGCATCAGGTACTCACAAGCGAGACTATGGGTGCTCCAGAGAGGGAACAAAATGCCAAAAATCCAATTTTTTGTTTTTGACAAATAAGTCTAAACTGAAATGAGTAAGGTGTATTAATGGCAAGTGTGTTGAATATGCTTCATCTAAAAGGTGTAATGCAGTTACTCGTTCCTCGACTCAAGCCTCGCACTCCAGGCAGCCGGGGCTTGAAGAATGGATTTGTGGTCATTCACACTGGATTGATTACCCATCTTCCCCACTGTTAATACCCAGAAGCTCCAGGCTATAGACATATTTCTCCAGAGACTCACCGGGACATTGCTGCATTTCCATCCCATCAGGTTATACAAAAACAATTCCACCCAGGCAACAACAAAGGACAAGGGACCTCGATAGAACATACAATGCTTCGTTTTCATATGAACAACTCAAATAGATGATATACGGATATAATAGTTCAGGCGCTGAGAGCAGATCATTAAAGTTTATCTGAAAATGAAACCCATTTCACCAACAAAGAAAGCTGAATAAATATCGGTGGATTTGTTCAAACCTCAATACAACAGCACATTCAAAAGTGATTAACAAGTGAACATTAAGAACTAAAAGCTCTAAAGTTGAAATGGTTCTAACTTCTTGCTCACCTAACTTATATTTTTAATTACTAACAATGAGCTTTGTGCATTTCACAATGCAGCTCCTTTGCAAAACTATCTCTGAAATTAGACACACCCAACCTTTGCACCAATGAATTTACATGATTTTCCCATTTGTTTGTGATTACTGGATAAGGATTTTAAAAAACACTTTATACATTTTATGTGTGGGATTGAGATTATGCTTAATATAC